CCTAATGCCTCTCAGTAACCGATTCCCCCCAATATATACAATAGTCCCCACCATGTCTCTACTTGCTTTCTCGCGTCTTCTAGAACATTCGATTATTTCCTATTCCTACATTCGGCCATTCTGCAAATCTTCGGTCCCCGAAGATGGAGGTTCCTCTTCTGACTGATACAATTTCATATGATCCGCCCCTGTGGTGGTAACACGCGGCCCCTCTCCTTTCCCGACATACTTCACCTCGTATCGGTGGTTTCCGATGACACGGGTGACCCTATATGACCCCAAATACTTGGCGAGAATCTTCATTGACGGGCCGAACTGAGTTCTTTTGATAAATACCACGTCATTCTCTTTATATCGTACTGCCTCCTTACATCGTTTATTGTGTTGTCGTCTATTTTCCTCTTGGATTGTCAGGAGATTTTCTTTCGCCATAGCCCTGATCTCATCTCGCTCTTCCTCAAACATCAGTATCGCTTCCGCCTCGATAGCTGCTTTAACCGCAACGTCTTCCTTCTGTTTCATCCTCACTCCAAACAAGATTTCAAACGGAGTACGACCTATGCCACGCTGATATGTGCTGTTCAAGTGCCGTTGCACCTTATCCACGTGGCGATACCACTGCCCAGGCTTCTCCAACGATAACTTGGTCAGCACCGGTATCAGGGTCCGGATGATCCTCTTTACCTGCCCATTTCCCCTCGGCATCCCCGTCGTCACCAGCACATGCTGGATACTCTCAGCCTCACAATACCCGCGGAAGTCGTCCGACGTGAAGGCTGGTCCCCTGTCGCTGACGATCCGCCCTGCATTGCCAAAAATCCTCTGCTGTTCACTCAGTTTGGCCAATACCTCTTTGCTATTCGTCGTTTTGGTCGGATACAACCAGGTAAACTTTGTAAATCCATCGACAACTACAAAGATATGTTTGTATTGTTAACTGGTTGCACTCATTGGACCCACGTGGTCGATGTGATACGTATGCAGGGGCGTATCCTCCTTCGGTATCGGCATCATATCTAGCCAGGAATGAAACATTCGTCTTCGACAGCCTTCACCATTTTTGTTGCACCAAAGTGCCCATTGCCGTGGGCCCTTTTTATTACGTCGGTCTCCAGACATCTTGGTACCACCACTACACTCGTGTCGCCCTTTCTTTTTATCAAGACATCATTCTCTATTGTATAATCCTCGTTTCAATTCTCTTTCGACAAAACTCGATTTTAGTCAACCTGACATCCGTTCTTTTTAGTTTATAATAGCACATTTTTACCGTCGCTAAAAATTTTTCAATTTATTTAAGAGAAATTTTCGCTGCTTTCTGGATTGAATAATAGTAGAAAACCATCTGATTTCTAAAGAAGTGCTATATAACAAAAGCTATAAAACGATTTCCTTCAAGTTTTAAAGCGTATACTAACAAATAAATAGTGTTAGGTCCGATAAAATCTAGCAATTATTATTTATATTTCAACAACTGCAGTCCAAAAAAAGAGAAAAAATCATTTTATTACAACCTTTTTTTGGTTACTTTACGTGTAAAATTCAATTATTTTCCAACGAAATTCGATTGTAGTCAAACTAACATCCATTCTGTTTTGTTTCTAATAGCACATTTTAACCGTTACTGAAAATTTTGTAATATATTAAAAAAAATTTTTGCTACTTTCTGGATTAAATCGTAGTTTAAAACTATAACAATTCTAGAAAAGTGCTATTTAACAAAAGCAATGAAACGTTCTCTTTCAAGCTTCAAAGCGTATACTTACAAATAAAAAGTGTTGAGTCCGATAAAATCTAGCAAATATCATTTATATTTAACAATTGAAGTCTAAAAAAAGAGAAAAAATCATTTTACTATAAATTTTTTTGGTTACTTTACGAGAAGAATTCAATTTTTTTTCTACGAAACTCGACTGTAGTACACCTGACATCAATTCTGTTTAGTTTCTAATAGCATATTTT